AGAAGTAGAAGTAGAAGTAGAAGTAGAAGTAGAAGTAGAAGTAGAAGTAGAAGTAGAAGTAGAAGTAGAAGCAGTAGTAGTAGTAGTAGTAGTAGTAGTAGTAGTAGTGGTAGTAGTAGTGATAGTAGCAGCAGCAGTACTAGTAGTAGTAGTAGTAGTAGTAGTAGTAGTAGTAGTGGCGGTAGTAGTAGTAGTGGTAGTAGTAGTAGTAGTAGTAGTAGTAGTCGTAGTCGCAGTCGTAGTCGTAGTAATAGTCGTAGTCGTCGCCGCCGGGTCCTAAAACCCAACGCCCTTGCGGGTTCAGAGCTCCTGAACTCCACGCCACCGAAACCGTAAACCTTCTACATCATTATAGGGTTTAGGGCTTAGGGCTTAAGGGTTTAGGGCTCAGGGTTTAGGAGTTTTCGTTTTTGGGTTTTGGGTTATCGGGTTTAAATGTCTTTACGGCTGCCATGCCCACGGGAGCTTGCGAACATGCCCTTATAAACAAGTCCGGTTGCGCATCGGCACAGACTCGAGGTGCAGTCGAAATTGAGGGCTGGTGTGGATTATCTGCTTAATCCCTAACAAGCCCTTGCGGTGTTCAGTGGGGTTTTCGGCGGCGTGGTCTATGTAATCTTGCAAGATAGGTAGGGAATATTCAAGATCAAGGTCTAACCAATATCGTTGAGGGTGTCCTCTATGTTGCGACTTCGTGAACTTGATCCTATCCTTGAAACCTGGTGAGAAAACCACTTGATGCAGCGGGTCCGTTGGCGTTGTAGCCAAAATTCTGGTTATATAGATGTTTAAACTTTGGAAAGGTTATGCGCCAGAGTCCAAACTCTGCAATTCGAAAAATGGGAATAGTAGGAAGACTTGATGCCCAGACATCTACGCAGGTATTGAAAGTACCCCGCATCAATGGACTTTAGATGCTTAAGTTCCCGGGAAAGAACTTCGAGACCATATTGTAGAACCGGGATTACTGCTGCGTGGAATTCTCTGACTTTCTGCCTAACGTTGATCCTATCTCTCATCGAAAGCAACATCCGGAAGACTCATCATCTCAAGGATTCTTGACTCCATCCTACGACGGCAGATCTCGACCTGTGCTCCTGTTGAACTCCTAACATGATACTCCATCGGTGTGATGAATGCTGTCCAGTTGGCGTGCTTCGAAATTCATCATGGTGGGAGCATCCAGATACCTCACTTGATGTGCTTTGTTACCTCACCTTTGGACACCCACATTGAAGAAACCTGCATGCAGCCGAATGCGCTCCTGGTGTTCATTATCCCGCTGCCTTACATCTGCGATTGCCGATGACAATGACGGGCTCACTTTTGGATCGTGCCACTTTGGGCATACTAGACTGCCAGCGTGGGCTGGATTGGTCGCACCGACCAAATATCCAGATCCTGGAAAAAGCAGTCAACACACCAACACGCCGTAACCGTGTCTGGGAAATCGTACCGAGCCCACAGTGAGCTTCAGGGCACCAGGGCGGACAACTTCTGCTAGCGGCCAGCCGAAGCACTTTCGCCTTGATATCATCCGCGAAGCTAAATTTGGCACCGGACATAGACAAAGCGATGTCCAAAAGGGAAAGGTTGAAAGACTAAGCCGGCCCGAGGCTCTGAAAGTCTTGAGCCAAAGTGGCTACGGTTTAAGCGTTTAGGGTTCAGGGTTTCAAAGAAACGAACAACAAAACCCCGAGCTGCACAGAAAGCAAAGAGGAACCCAGCAGATGTGTCTGCCCCCTGCCTGCGAAATACCGCGGGGACCAAGGTCAACTTTGCTTGCCCGCAAGGCAGCCTGACAGTGCGCTTCCACCCCTCAGCCCTGAACCCTAAACCCTACCCAAGGTTTTCATGCAGTTTAGAATGATTCCATATCAGCTCAAAGCGTGCTTTATAAGGATCTATAGTTGATAGTGGCTTTGGGATGTAGGTTCACGGTTTTGGGTCTATAGGGTTGCTGACCAGTACAAGGTTTAGGGTTGAGTTCGGGTTTCGGGCTGGGTGCCCCGAACTGAAACCTGCCCTGAGCTGTCACCAGGCCTGGAAGAGGTCTGAACCATCTTCCTGGCCGGAGCAAGTTCAGACCTTCGGGCTATAAGAATATGCTAAAGGTCATATCTTGATGGAAGAGAGGGGTTTTAGGGTTTAGGGTTTAGGGTTTAGGGTTGATGGTTT